CTCACACCACCCTCTCCTGCAGGCTCCTTCCCCAGCAACAACCCCTTCCCTCAAGCTCATCCTCTCGCTCCTCGACTCCCCTCCACCCCTCCCCACAGGTCTCCCCCCTGCGCTCTTCCCACGCAGGTGCCCCTCTGCCTCACGCAGACCCTCACACACGCACCCTCCCCTCCGGGACCCCTTCTCGGCCTCGCCCCACACGGCCCCGGGCCCCGAACGCCGCCCCGGGGCTCCGAGTCCACCAGCCCTCGCCCGCCCCCGCCTCGCCAGCCTCACGCTCCAGACGCCGACCCGGAGGCCTCCGCCTCGCCTCCCCCCACGCAGCCCCCCGCCGGCACCAAGCGCGGCCCTCGGCCCCAAAGGCGCCCACTCGCACACAGCCCACCCCCTCAGATACCGCCCCCAGCCCCCAGCCACTCCCCCACCGCCCCCGGCCTCACTCACCCGCCTCCCTCCGCTCGCGCAGCCGAACCTGCCGGCAGCGACACCTGACAGCGGCCCAATCAACGCGCGACTTCGCTGCGTCGCCGCCAATCAACGGAGGGCGCGCACGGGCAGGAGTCAGGCTGCGTTGGCCGGCGCTTCTGCGCGGAGGAGGGCGGCCCCTAGTGGCTGTGGAGAGGAAGTGCAGCCTGATGCTCTGGATTTCTGACTGTGTCGCCGCCGGAGTGCAGATGCTCTGTCTAGACACAGAGTTCCCAGCGAGACGGAGCAGGGAGGGCAGGGGAGATGCAGAGGAAGGAGTAGAATTTGTGCCATTGCAGTTCTGTGACTACAACACCAGGTCTTCTGTTTGTTTTGTAAAGCAGAACGCCCTATGAAATATGTAGAGATACAATGTGCGTAGGTTGGAAATGTTAACAGATGTAGAAGAATGATAGGGAGACAGGCGACAAAAACTGGAATAAACACCAGAAAGGCGAGGAGAAAAGAAAATGGATGGACATGGAAAACTGGATAAATTGATTCTGTCTCCACAGCCTGCTTGCTCTCTCGCCTCCTCATTTAGAGCCAGACAAACCTGGGTTTTATGCTTGGCCTTGACTTTAGTAGCTCTGCAGCTTTGGATAAGTCGCTGGATTTCCCACAGTCTCTGTTTTTTTCATTTGTCAGAGAGGGGGATTAAAAACTTAACTCACAGGTTATTTTCTTTTTAAAGGATTTATTTTATTTATGCAACCAAGAACTAGGGTATAAGCCAGAGATTTGGGTTGAGAGGATTCACCAGAGACAGAATGGGGAGCAGAACAGGCAGATCTACTGAAATACACTACTGAGGGGAGCAGCAGGCCGGTCAGGAGAGGTCTGCTGCACCATGTGGGTTAGCTCCCTGGCTGGGGATAGAAAACATGCTGCAGTGGCTGCCATAGCTTCATTGTGCTGAGACTTAACCCCTTGTGCCACCAGGGAGGCCCACTCACAGGTTATTAATTATGTGAAAGCATTTTGGATACGCTTGTATTGCTATTATCTTTGCATCATCACTTGGGCTTACCTTGTCAAAATAATTCCAAGTTCCCTCTTTCTCCTCTGCAACCTTAAAGATATTACCACTTTATCAGACAAATGCTCAGCTGAACCCCAGGTCTATTACATGTAATAGATATAATTCTAAGAACTGGCACTAAGAGAAATAGGTAGCTCCCTAGTTGGTGCTCAGACTTATATCCCTCCTACTACTCCAATCCCTCAACAAGTTATTAAAGCATCTTTTTTTTTAAGATTTATCTATCTATCTATCTATCTATCTATTTATTTATTTATTTATTTATTTATTTATTTATTTATTTATACAAGCACTGGATACAGTCAGAAGCATGGGAGGGTGAGAGAATTCACCATTGCCAGAGCGAGGAGCAGAGCAGGCAGAAGGACGGAAGTACACTGCTGAGGGGAGCAGTGGGTGGCAGGAGAGGTCTATCAGCCATGTGGGACCCTCCTCCAGTGGCCAGGGAGCAGCAGGGGATCTAACAGGCGCTGCAGAGGCTGCGGGCAGCTTTGCAACCCAGCGCTCAACCGCTGCGCCACCGGGGAGGCTCTTTAAGCATCTTTTAAGTAATTAATTTGTCTTCTCTTCCCCCTGAAAATGTAGACTCAGTTCCTCCTAGTCACCCATTGGAACAGTCCAACTCGAGTCAAAGAAATAATACATAATTATTATTATAATTATAAAATACTTTATAAATATTATTAATAATAATTATTATATTATATTGTGATATAATAAATGTATGTATTGATTACTTCCAATATGCTATAGGATTTTTTAAAGTCTTAATACATTATGTGCCAGAGACTTGAGGGAAATAAGAAAAATATCTAAATGTACATCTTTTCTTAGTAGAGCTATTATTCAAATTTGGATAGCTACTCTTCAAATTCGAGTGATTTCTCTACTTCTTTGAGAGGGCCTTATTTTTATTTCTGTAACTCTCTCTTCTTTTTTTTTTTTTTTTTTTTTTTTTACTTGATTGAAGGCTTTATGGTACATAATAGGTAGGTTTTTTTATAGTTGCTCTCAGCTTTTTTCACACTGACTTCCGTTGTATTTGGGTGTTCTATGCCCGAGATTGCTCAGCTGCTGCTGTTGCCATTGGTTTGTTTTCTTTCAGGATCAAGGTGGGTACTTTCATATAAAATCTTATTTTTAATTCCTTCTCTGGCAAATCTTTCCTGGATTCTTTGTTTTGCATAGTTATACCTACAGTGGAACCAGCATCCTAAAGTCACTAAGAAAAATCCTCCTACTCCAACATCACGTGATCTTCTAATTTTACTAGTTAACAAAAAATGTCCCAGGCCAGCCACAACAGATCCTAATGAACCATATAATATCGAATCCCGGGCACAGGGGATGTTTTCAACATCTAAAATTCCTAGAAGTTTAAAGGGCTTTCCCTTCCCGGGCTCGCCTGGCTCCTGCTCGGCGGCCATGGGGCATCTGTAACTCTCTCTTCTTGCTCCCTCTCTTTAGTTTTAGTAAACACCCTCACAATCAAATAACAACCCTATTGCTCTGCAAGATTATCTCCTTCCTTATCTGGGTAAATATACACCAGTCTAAGTAATTATATTTGCTTCCTCATAGGTACTCCTTAACCTAGATAATGAGCCCCTGTGACACAGTAACATTTTCCATCTCTCCCAAAATGACCACATTTCAACTACAGAACTCTATTGATAATTACTCTCTTGCCAGCAGAAGGAGTTAAGAGAGAGACCTAGTTGAGAGGTGCATGGACTCTAAGGGTTACCCACAAATGAGGAAGGCAGGAAGAGGAACACAAGTGAAGTCTGAGAGAAATGAAGGGAATGGGAGAATAGAAGCAGAGTGGGGTTTCATTAGTGGGGCCAGAGGACAATGTGAAAGGAATTGCTCTTTCTCAAATACTACCCTTCTATGATTTCAAAGTATCTTACTGTTTTGTGGGTACACCAAAATAGAACTAGGAAAGAACTAATGCTAACATACCACTCCACTATAATTGCCCCTCCACACTGAAGTTCCACATCTCTTGTCTTTGGGTTCCAGCATTCATTCTGCTTCCTGCAAGGACAGAGGTGAAGTCCCACCAGAGCTTCACTTGGAACTGTGGGAGCAAAACCCTCAAATTTAAATATGCACCTTATGAGGAGAAAGGAAGAGAGCAGGAAGAAAGTGGAGATTCCCTGGTGACCTTTGACCATGGATACCACTCCCCCTTACACGCTGGATTAAACAGCATTAGGGAGCCAAAAGAAGAAACACATGTAATGGTTGGGGACCTGTGCCTGCCTGTCCCATGCCTACACCCAGTCATCTCACCGCACCCTTTACTTCACCTTACACTCTCACCCAGTGCAAGAACTGGGAGCTGCAAAGAGGGGAGAGGTGGAAGAGGAAATTAACAATTCCCTTCCCACCCCTGCTCCACACCCAGTTCAACCACCAAGTAGCCAAGCTTTCAGAGAATACTCAGAGGGAATTCCTTGTGCAGCGGAACAGGTCTGAGCTTGGAAAAGATTCTGAGAAACAGGGGCTTCCCTGGTGGCGCAAGGGGTTAAGACACAGCACTATGAAGCTATCTTCAGCCACTGCAGCCCAGGAGCTCGATCCCTGGCCAGGCCAGGAAGGTGACCCACATGGCGCAGCAGACCTCTCCTTCCTCGCCTGCTGCTCCCCTCAGCAGTGTATTTCAGTACATCTGCCTGTTCTGCTCCCCCATCTCTCTGGCCTGCACTATCTAGCTCTTGTATGCATAAATAAATAAACCTTTAAAAAATATTCTGAGGAGTAAAAGACAAAAGGCAAAGTAGGAGAGGGGGAGAAGAATAGAGGAAGGGTGGGGAAATTAGGTAATCCTGAGACGTGGAGGTGGGAAAGACTTGGGGGCCAGGTAGGGCTGGGGAACACAGCACAGCTGGGTTGAGAGTTAATGTCCCATTCTTCTTTGGAACTCCTTCCACAACCTTGTAAGGAGAGCACAGGTGTGGCAGGGAGGAGCCTTGGTCTTCTTCCTGGTTCCAAAGAAAAGGTGACCTTGAGGCAGCGGGTGTCTTTCCCCATGCCTGCCTCTAACTCGTGTTTTTCTCGGTGTCGTCCTCTGGCATTGTGTTTATTCCGCGGTTTCCCCGCCGCCGCCTCCCCAGGGAAGCTGGGGGGGTTGCTGAGGCAGGCCGAAAGCAGAGACGAGGTTGGGCAATGTCATCCTTTCACACCCACGGAGTGACGGATCGGGTTTCCAATTAAACTGAAGGGCTTGGGGGAAGGGTGCTCGGGTTTTGCCAGGCCCCTTGGGTGCTGTCCTCCTCTTGGTGCTGAAACCTGGGCCTCTGCATCCCAGGTGGGCCCGAATCCCCAGCGGAAGGGGTGCGAACCTCGGGTACCCCTAACCTGACGGCGCTGCCCACCTCGGCCCCGCACACCTAAGGTGGTGGCAGGCGGGAAGGCGGGGCCTGCTTGAGCCCCACCCCTGGAGACTGCGGCTCGGCCTCCGTCTCCTCCGCCCGCCTCAAGGCTCATTGCGCCTTTCCGCAGTCCGCTCGGTACCGGCTCCCGCTCCCGCTCCAGCCTCCGGCGACCCCTGTTTCGACTCCAGCCTCGCCCCACCTCCGGTCGTCTGCCCGCCCCGGTTGCATCCTCCCTCCCTGCTCCAGCCCGGCGCCAGCTCCTGCTCCAGGATTCTGTAGCCGGACCCTCAAGCCATGGCAGGTCCCTTTTCCCGTCTGCTGTCCACCCGCCCAGGGCTCAGGCTGCTGGCCCTGGCCGGAGCTGGGTCTCTAGCGGCTGGGTTTCTGCTCCGCCCGGAACCGGTCCGAGCTGTCAGTGAACGGCGGAGGCTGTATCCCCCGAGGTATCAGTGTCCGAAGCGCGGGGTGGGGAGACGGGGGTTAGGTGGTGATGGGAACGGAGGTGAGCTTGGAGATGAGAACCCAGGCACCAGAGGAGGGTTATAATCATGAAGGCGCAGGAGTGGGCGCTGTATAGTCTGGAGACTTCAGCCGGGTGGGGGTGGAGGCCAAAGCCACAAGGGAAGGCATTCTTGGACCTGTAAGCCGCAGTCCCCGCCCCCAAGACCAGCTCTGGTCCTGTGAGTTCTGGCGGCAACACTCTAGCCAAATCCCTAGCTGAGAAACCAGGATCTATCCTTTTTTTATCACCTCCATCTCCTTTTCCTGCTGTTCTCCCGTCAGTCTCCCCCCATCCCCCATCCCTGAAGTGTTCATGGGAGGAAAGAACTGAGTGTGTCTGGGGAAACTGAGCTGCCAGCCAGAGGAAGTTAGAACTGTTGGGAATGAATGGAGCCTGAAAGTTCCTAATGAGATTACCAAGGTTTAGCCTCCCTCTAATCTCCCCTCTTTCCAAGGAGCAAACCAGACTTGGCTAACTGGATAGCTCCCAGCTGACTACAGCATTAGGCCCCTTGTGCCCTCCCTCCATGGTTACTGGGTACCCCCTCCCTAGCGCTGAGTACCCAGACCTCCGAAAGCACAACAACTGCATGGCCAGTCACCTGACCCCAGCAGTCTATGCCCGGCTCTGCGACAAGACCACACCCACTGGTTGGACGCTAGATCAATGTATCCAGACTGGCGTGGACAACCCCGGCCACCCCTTCATCAAGACTGTGGGCATGGTAGCAGGAGATGAGGAGACCTATGAGGTAGGGGGCCCCCAGAGTTTTCCTGGTGACCCAACTCATCTTCCCAGCAATCCCGGCTCCTTCCCCCTAAAGACCCCTCACTTACCCTCAAGACTGGACCATCCATGCTTAAATATTCTGACCCAGTGAAATCAATTCATAATTAAAGCCTGGAAAGGGACTCCTTCTCCTTAACCACCCTCTCCCTTTTAATTCCTCCTCAGGTATTTGCTGAACTGTTTGATCCTGTCATCCAAGAGAGACACAATGGATATGACCCCAGGACTATGAAACACACGACTGATCTGGATGCCAGCAAGGTCAGTCGAATATTCCGCTTCTGATTTGCATTGCCTTATGAACAACATTTTTTACAGTGCCTTCACCTGAAGCATTTCTTAACTCATTCTACTGCTGAACTTTTTTTTTTTTTTTTTTTTTTTTTTTTGGTGGGACCCTCGCCGGCGCCTGGGGAACGAACCGGCGCTGCAGAGGCTGCCCCTCGCAGCCCAGCTCTCAACCACTGCGCCACCAGGGGAGGCCCTACTGCTGAACTTTTAATCTTGGTGTAGGGAAAGAACTCTGTCTTAAGGGGCAGCAGATAAGGGGATGGTAGATGACAATGGCCATGCTCCCCAGAGTGGACAGTTTTAATGCCCTCTTCAATTGCATTGCTTGCCCAATGGGTTCCCTCCAATGCATGCAGTGAGGATCCCTCTAGCTCCTAAAGGGTCTCCTTCCTGGAAGTCCTCAGTTCCCACCCACTGTTTTTCTGTTATTGTATTAATTTCGCTTTTTCTTCAGATCCGTTCTGGCTACTTTGATGAAAGGTATGTATTGTCCTCAAGAGTCAGAACTGGCCGAAGTATCCGGGGACTCAGTCTGCCTCCAGCCTGCACTCGGGCAGAACGACGAGAGGTCGAACGCGTCGTGGTAGAGGCACTGAGTGGCCTGAAGGGTGACTTGACTGGACGTTATTATCGGCTCAGTGAGATGACAGAGGCTGAGCAGCAGCAGCTTATTGATGTGAGGGGGGCCTTGAGAGGGAACTGGGTGGTGGGAGCAGTGGAAGAGTCAGTGGCAGGGATGCTGGGACACATGAGATAGATGGGTTCTGAGAGGTCTAGGGGCTACTGTGAGAAGTCTTTATATATTTCTATTTAAAGAACAGGTTTATTTGAAAACCCAAGTTCTTTTCTTTCCCCAGGACCACTTTCTATTTGATAAGCCTGTATCCCCATTGCTGACTGCAGCAGGAATGGCTCGAGACTGGCCAGATGCTCGTGGAATCTGGTATGAGGTTTACTTTACCCGTCTTTTGTCTCCATGCCCCAGGTTATGTCTTTCTGTTTCTATCTTTCCCATTTCTTTTCCTGTCTCTTGATAGCTGTACCTCCCTCTCTCCTACCCTCAGGCACAACAATGAGAAGAGCTTCTTGATCTGGGTGAATGAGGAGGATCATACACGGGTCATCTCCATGGAGAAGGGTGGCAACATGAAGAGAGTGTTTGAAAGATTCTGCAGAGGCCTCAAAGAGGTTGGAGAAGAATGATAAGGGAACTAGGTGGGAGGATATAAGGAAAAACCAAACACTAGAATAGGTATGTTGACCTTCTGATTTACCAACCAGCCCAGGACACTTCCGGTAGTGAAAGGGATCACCATCAATCACTCCAGGACATAGGTATACATTAGGATTGTCCAGGGAATGCCAGGATTTTTGGTTACTCTAAGAATAGATTGAGAAAAGAATGTCAGGAATCTAAGGAAGTAAATAAAGTAGTTCCCATATTATGCCAAAAAAAGAGTGACTGAGATGGTGGGTCAGTGCCAGGACTGTATGATAATGGGATGGTGGAGCTTGTATATAAGGAACATTTTAAGCTTAGGTAGATGCAAGGACAAAAGATTGGTATTTTCATGATTCTAACGTAACCATCCAGTTCTGAGCTAAGGTAGGCCTTGACTCTGGATTCTGTCATTTTTGTTAAAGTGTTAGATCTAGGCTTGAAGCTAGGAGCAGGAAGAGGAAAATGGGAATGCCTTAAGTTCCAGAATGTGTGCTTCTAGATGAGGGGTTGAACTGAATCCTCAATCAAAGTGGATTCAATCCTAGGTTAGAATATTCAATTCTAGATTAGAAATCCCCATAAGCCCAATACCTAGGATGTGTTCTCAGAGATACATTTCTATTTTGGACTTGTAAAGACAGAGTCCCTCCTACTTTTAGATTCTAGTTGATAAGTTTCTACTGTTTGTGGCGAATAATAGATAACATATTCTGACTGAAAGTGAGTCAGAAAGTACTTTTTAAATTAAATTATAGGGCCTCCCCGGTGGCGCAGCGGTTGAGCGCTGGGTTGCGAAGCTGCGCGCGGCCTCTGCGGCGCCGGTTCGATCCCCGGCTGCTCCCCGGCCACCAGAGGAGGGTCCCACATGGCGCGCAGACCTCTCCTGCCGCCCGCTGCTCCCCTCAGCAGTGTGCTTCGGTCCTTCTGCCTGCTCTGCTCCCCGCTCTGGCTCTGGTGAATTCTCTCGCCCTCCCGCGCTTCTGACTGTACCCAGTGCATGTATAAACAAAACAAACAAACAAACCAGCAAACAAATAAATAAAGCATGCCTCTATAAAAAAAAAAAAAAAAAAAAAAAAAAAAATAAATTAAATTATAGGTCTCAGTTTCTTCATCTGTAAAATTAGGATGAGACTTCCTATGTCTTAGGTTACTGTGGGGATTAACTGAGATAATGCATGTAAAGTACCTGACCTTTTAATAAGTACTCAAAAGTGTTAGGTGCTATTGTTCTAAATGTAAAGATTTCCCCCGAGGTCAGCATGTAACTATGCCATGGATCTTTCTGAACTATGAATAAGGTCCCCTTTACTCATGAAAGCTAATGGTCTTTATGTCCATCATGCTGGCAGATCCCCCATCTCTTCAACTCTTTTAGTTATCTTCATGATTAGGACTTTTAAGAGAAACAACCTTCCCACATTCCCCACCCCTCACACAGACCTTTAAGTCCAGCTCTTCTGTACTATTTTCACCTCTCTGCTTTCTCACATGTGCTTTTTCCACAGCTAACAGAAGGTTTTCTTGCCTCTTCCTGTTTCAAAGCCTACACCCTCATTTTTTGTCTGAAAGGACTCTTCCAAGCTCCAGGCTCATTAGCAAAGCAAAGATAATGCATGCAGAATTTATTGAATAAGCAGTCCCTTCCCAGTTAAGCTTACCACCTCCATTCATTTCTCTAGATGATTCTTCCTGGATTATACCTCAAGTTTCTCTTCTTCCACACACAATATATTTTTCAAAATCTCATTATTATGGGCTTAGAACATCAGAATTATCTGTATGCATGACAAGAACAACCATTTCCACCAAAAAAAGAGAATGCCATTCTTTGACATCCCAAATTTCTGGTTCTAAATGTATTTCTGGAGTTCCTGTGGGTCTAGCTAAGGGAAAGTGCACATACCCTTGACTTTTTACTAAGAGAGTCTTTGTGGACTCAGGTAGAACGGCTGATCCAGGAACGTGGCTGGGAATTCATGTGGAACGAGCGTCTGGGATACATCTTGACCTGTCCATCTAACCTGGGCACTGGACTTCGAGCAGGAGTGCACATCAAACTGCCCCTCCTAAGCAAAGTAAAGGAGTTGTGCAGTGAGAGAGGGGTGTGAGGGAGGAAGGTGGCTATATATGGATGGGGCACTATGGAGTCAGACAAACTAGCTAAAGGGTTGGGGGAAGACGTGAGCAGTTCAGGGCTCTTTCAGATAGGACCAGACTCTGATTCTGTTGACCCTGCCACCAACCCCTCTCTCTTCTCTAGGATAACCGCTTCCCAAAAATCCTGGAGAACCTAAGACTCCAAAAGCGTGGTACTGGAGGAGTGGACACAGCTGCCACAGGCAGTGTCTTTGACATCTCTAATTTGGACCGACTGGGTAAATCAGAGGTGAGATCCTTCAGAATCCTTAGGGTGAGAATACAGGTTTGTGGGGATTGAGACATGAGGGGATTTAGACATGACAGTGTGCCTCAGGAATGTACATTCTGGTTGACTGGGGAGGCAACTGGAAAATGACTTTCCAGAACAGACAAGTCAGTGCTAAGGAAAGAAACACAGGTTACGAGAAGCAGAGATCAAGGGTTAGTGTCCTTCAGGTGGAGCTGGTGCAACTGGTCATCGATGGAGTAAACTATTTGATTGACTGTGAACGGCGTCTGGAGAGAGGCCAGGATATCCGCATCCCTCCACCTCTTATCCACAGCAAGCATTAACTCTCCATCCCAGAAGATGCCTCAAGATCCCCAGGACTTCCATCACTCTAATGGTGGCCCATTCTACTTGCCTTTGATTCCTCTCCCCTTTGTCCCCACCAATCTGCCTGTGCTAGTAAAGTCTCCTATGCTATGCTCCAGCTGTCTGTGTTATTTCTAATGGCAGGGTGAAGAGGGAGTAGCCTCCAGGGAAGAAAATCAGTTAACAGGGTTATTTATGATGGAAAGAGACTCCAGCAATGACATGCCAGGAACACTGATTCTTGCGTGGGTGGAGAGCATTTACATTTAACATATTCCACATTAGCTTCCTGAGAATAATTAGAATGCATTTCCATTTGCACTTTATTCGTTATGACTTAAGGTTTCTTTTCCAACAATCTCTCTTTAACTATAAGACACCTGTCATAGCAGGTTGCCAAAGAAGCAGATGGTTAGTGCCAGGGTCCAGAAGGGTTGTGACCAGTCCTGGAGGCCCCAGGCTGTACTTCGACCTGTAATGATACAGAGAATGGAAGAAATACCACAACTCTGCGCCCCAGGAGCCACTGATAATTGGAAAGAATTGCCTATAGATCTTCACTCCAGGGATCTCCCTGGGTGGATTCTACGAGCAAGAAAGCCCCAAGTTAGGGGTTAAATTCTGAGTCAGGAGATGAAAGGTCAAGATGTACAACCGAGAACTCACCCTGCTGTTCTGGGCTCTCCTTGCCCTCATGCTGAGCCCATGCAACTGCTTGTCGCTGCTCAGGACTCAGAAAGGCCATTTGCTCAGGAGTGACAGCCACAGCCTGAACACTTGTGAGACTAGATAGCTGGATGGGGCTGAACACCACCTGGGTGTGGGGGGCAGGAATCAGCGCATCCATTGTAGGGGTCCTGGCTCTCTTGTAGTTACCCCAGAACCCCAACTATCAATACTTACAGCAAATTTAGGAGCAGGAATGACAGAAATGGCAAGAGGGGTAAGTCCTTGTATCTGTTCCCGCAACAGCGCTGAAAGAGCCAGATCTGGGATGCCAGCTGTCAAAACAAGAGGATAGGCATTCAAAACTGTCTTGGGCTGTTCTCCCTTCTCCTTCCTTCCATATACCTTCTCCTCCAACTACCTCCAAAGTACCTTGCTACAGTTTTTCCCCAACATATGCCCAATCTCTTACCTAAACACCTTCCCAGACTCCCACCTTAAGAATTCCAGAGCAGTGCTCCATCCAGTCCACCCATGGTATGGAGGTAAACATCTGACAAGTAGAACCAGCAGTAGCCCAGCCTCCTACCTGCTATTGTGCCAATTTCAGTGAAGATCTCAGGCCCCCAGTTACTGACTGGGCCAAAACCACCAGGCAGCACAAGGAGCTGGGCCAGAACCTCCAGTTGTTCCTCAGAGCACTGCAGAGGTAAGTTGCCCAGGAAGAGAGCTGCTTGGCTGTGGAAGAGTAGGAATGAAGAGAGTATTCAGCCATGGTGACAGGGCCCATAGTCATGAAGTGGGGACAGATATGGCTTCAAGTGAGTGCCCTTGTTTTATGGGACCACTCCTGATCATTTTCTTCCCAGGGAGCCCACCTTTACCTTACCACCACCCAAAAACCCCCTTCACAGGTGACCTAAACTCCCAACTGCTGATATGCTGTAATTCCTCTGGCCTCAGTCCACAAAGGGTGTAACCCAGGGCAGTCAGGTGAAGGAAGTCCAGGTGGCTCACATGCCGGCCACTCTGCTGCAGGAAACTGGACACCACAACTCGGAGCTGGGATAGGGATGAGAAGTGATAGAAAATTAATGGATGTGGAAGTGATTAGGGAAGTGCTACTGGATTATATGTTTTTATTATTAAGACCTGAAGTTCCAATAGACATGGGGAATGTTGGGAATGCAAAAAAGAGGAGAACAGAAAATGATAAGAACTCAAAGAGGCAGGAAGGAGTATTATGTGTCCAGTGCCTCAGAGTCCCTAAGGTCACTAGTATGGGGTAGTAAAGAAAGACAAAAATAATGGTCAGTCAACAGGTATATGAAATGATGCTCAACATCACTTGTAATCAGAGAGATGCAAATCAAAACCACAAAGAGATACCACCTCATGCCCTTTAGAATGACCACTGTCAAAAAAACAAGAAATAACAAATGCTGGTGTGGGTGTGGAAAAAAGCAAATCCTGCACTGTTGGTAGGGTTGCAATTTGATATAGTCACTACAAAAACCAGCATGAGCAATCCTCAAAAAATTAAATATAACTACTAAATGATCCAGCAACTCCACTTCTTGGAATATATCCAAAAGAAACAAAAACACTAACTATAAAAGATATCTGTACCCCCATGTTGAGAGCAGTGCTATTTACAATAGCTAAGACATGGAAACAACATGTCTACAGATGGATAAAGAAGTTATAAGATTTTACATATATATAGATATACATGCATATACATATGTGTATATATACTTACATATATATATATGTGTGTGTGTGCATATATATATAATGTAATAGCATTCGGTCATAAAAAAAATAAGAAAATCCTACCACTTGTGACAACATAGACCCTGCATGCATTATGCCAAACGAAATCAGTCAAAGAAAGTATGTATATCATTTACATGTGGAATCTTAAAAAAGAAAAACCAAGCTCATAGAAAAAGATATCAGACTTGTAGTTAGAGAGGCAGAGAATAGAGGAAGGGGGACTTGAAGGAAGGTGGTCAAGAGTTACAAACTTCTTGGTGTAAGATAAGTAAGTACAAGGATGTAATGTACAACGTGACTAGAGCCAACACTGCCACATGATAGATAGGAAAGTGATTAAAAGAGTAAATACTAAGAATTCCATCACAAGGAGAAATTGTTTTCCTTTCTTCTTTTTTTTTCTCATTGTATCTATATCTATCAGATAAATATTAGCTGAACCTACTGTGGTAAGCATTTTGCAATGTGTTGATAGGGAAGTTGAACCATCATGAAAAACACTTTAAACTTAAACAGTGATGTATGTCAATTGTTTCTCAATAAAACCGGAAGGAAAAAAAAAAGAGGTCAGGCAGGGTCATAGGAAAAAATTCCCTGGGCTTCAGGTGACCTAGAGGCCCGGATCTGTGTGGTGTTTGGATGGTTGTGAGGTGGAAGGAAAATATTACCTGGACAGAGCTCCAGCCATCTATCTGCCCCAGGGTGCTCAGCACTCCCCAGTCCACCAGGATTAGCTCCTGCAATTCCCGTTCTCCTAGACCTATTAAGAGCCGATCCAGCTGCAAGATCTGCTCAGGACGGAATCCCCGGGGGGGACCCCACAACTAGGAGAAAGAGAGGAACAATGTAAATGAAAAAACCACTGGAGTACAAGTCAGAATGCTGGGTCTAAGTATTGCCTCTGACCTTAGCTATATAACTCTAGCCTTCTCTGGCTCTTTAGTTTCCTTACCTGTAATATGAGAGGGCTGCATTAAGATGCTACTGAAAGACTCTCAAGTCTTAGTAAGAAAAAACAGTAGATACTAGTCCACAATTTTTAACAGGCACCAGACTCACCCAGGATGCCTGTTAAAATGCAGATTCCCAGACCCCATGCCCAGAGATTCTTTTTCTGCCAGTCTAACATGGGACCCTGAACATCAGCATTTTAGAAACTTACTTCCCAGATGATTTTGATATACACTAAACTTTGGTAAGCCTTATGGTAGTCCCTCTACACATTGCAATACCTTCCTTTCCTCCACATTTATTCTCTCTGACTTCCTAGTCAGGATCCAATCCTCTAATTCTTTTATCTCCTATTTTCCTCCCTCTCACCCAGCTCTCTATTCTCCATGTCCCATAACACACCCAACCAGCTTCTTCATGATTTTCTATCTCTAACTCCAATTGATGTTTCCACTCCTAACCTGTTTTGCCTTGCCCATCGCTGCCCGGAGCGCCTCAGGCCCAAGTCCTGTGTCTCCTGAAAATAGTGCCAGGCAGTCCTCAAAGTCTGACAGCTCCATCTCTGCAATCTGGGTTGCAGACCAGGCTGCTGGGAATGTCCCCCGTACATCTGCACAATTTGGCACAGGTTCTGAAAAGGAGAGGCAGAGTTTGGAGAGACGATTTTCAAGGTTTCTTCTGGTTCGAGGGTTCTATAGCTCTGGGAATTTACAATTCATTGTGTCAGAGGGTCACAGTAGTATTAAAGTATGCCCAGAGAGATGTGGATAGATGGAATGATCCCTCCAAACTTTGGAGGACAGAGCAAATTGGGAGTTATGGGTTGAGGGATTACCACAGTGTGAAACTTATAGGACTCATAGGATATTAGGATAAGAAATTACTGGAAAGGACAATCTCCACATTTTATAGATGGAAGGCTAAGGGAGTTGCCAGGGGAATTAACGCAGAGCTAGATTAGAACCCAGGTCCATAGACTCACAATATCTCTTTCCTACATGCTAAGTATCTATCCCCAGAACACTGCATACTCAGCCAAGCCTAGAGCTAAGTCAATTGTTAACAGGGATTTAAAAAATAAGAAAAGGGGAATCCTGAGCTAAAAACACAATCCTGAGCTAGAACCAGAAGAAACCTTGAAAACCATCTCTCCGAACTCCATGCTTTCTAGATCAGAAAACCCAAGCCCAGCAAGCAGGTGTGCAAATCTGCTCAAAGGGCACAGCACACCTGAAGCCCAGACTTCTGAATGCATTGTTGGTACTCTTTTCAGTGTGCCCTGCAAGACAAATGAGGATTTGGGTAGTTTCACCTGGAAGATGCTCCATAACAGGCCGCACGATCCCAGTTACCAGGGCTGCTTTCTTGGGAGCGAGCTGTGATGCTCCACAGAGCTGTCCAACTCTGCTCTGCTCCCAGCTCAGCTGCTTCTCTAGGAGCCGCTCCAGGGATTCTGGGCCCAAGGCCTCCTGCCAGAGAAGGTAGAGGGAGAGTGGGGACACCTGTGTAGCAGCTGCTGCAGCTGTAACTCTAAAGTCCAGTCTTTAACAGTCTCCCCAGATTCAGGTTTTATATCTTTTGCCCTCAACCTCCTTGGCCTTAACTTCTCAGAACTAGCTCATCAGACTCCTCTCTGCTCTTACTCCCTCCCTTGTTCCTTCACCTCACCCTGGGGATCAAGGAAATAGCCTCAGTAGACAGAGTGAACACTAGGCGTCC